AAAAGATACAAGGTTGCAGTTTACTGGCATTTATACAAGCCAATTTACGAGTGACAATTCAATAAGAGACAAAGAGACTGAGCACGTGAAAAAATAACCCTTGGACTTCTGAATATAAATTGAGAAATATCGGCTCAACGTTTCGATATTCTGCTGGTAGACAAAAACGCTACGACGAAAGGGAATTATCGATACAGCATGAACGGCTGGCGTAAACGCTGTTTTCAACGGAACAGGAAAGATACTGAAATACAGAAAATTGACCACGGGAGATATGGAGAGTAAAGACGAAAGTAATTCGTTCAGAAAGAAGAAAGGAGACCGTCAGGCCTATAAAAATCAACTGATCAAGCAATAAAGCGGATGAACTGCAGAAGGAGATCCTGTTAGGAACAGCCCAGATTTGAAAAAGGGCGCTGCAACTACCTAACCCTTAATGGAGAATCGGAGCTGAAATGATATTCATACAACTCATTTTACATTTCACGGAGTGTGACTGAATAAAAAATTAAACTCTATTAAACTTAATGCCTTATTAAGCCATTCTGAGAAAACAGTTCTCTACGTTAGGTTAACAAATTACCGTGTAACTGCGGGAAATATTGCATTGGAAAAACAAAGAACACCGTCATTCAGAGAACTAAGATGCACATGTCAAGCCGGAGATAATCTATGACGGATGAATGCGAACGCCATGCAATAATAAGCATCTCAGAAAAAACAAAGCATCATCTTCAAGGAAATCAAAGAAAATGCAAAAAGACCTCAGATGTGCAAGACGCAGCGGAGGTACGACATCCCTGATGGCCTCAGTGCACCGGATTTGTCAAAGAAAGATAGTGGATGAACGGGCGTGTCAAGAGGGCATTAATTATCCAGTCATGAGGTAATGTTAACCCTGAGAAAGGATACGAACTCTGCGAGGATTAGATGAGTGGCATCACCAGAAAACTACCTAACTAGAAGCACAGACCAAAAGCTCTCCTTTTTGTTGCAAACGTCAGAATAAAAGCAAAGGGCAGAAAGGAATTCTGAAATCAATCCATCTCTTCGCCATGAAAAAGGCTCCTAAGACATGATCTGAAAAGAAGATACTGAGCAATCATTCCAGTGACCAAATTATTTTTTATTGTGCATTAAAAAACCATATTTATGATGCCCTTAAAAAATACTGATCACTTTTAAACATCAAAATCTCATTCGAAACCTTACTTTCTACAGCTACCTTAAGCACGTACTTTGAAGGGCAAATTGCTGACAGCGTGAATATCAGCAGAATGAAATCGAGCGAGTTCTGTTCGAAAGGCATCTGTAGGGGTAAGTTGGTCACGTCACAGACGAACGAGTGGCAACGGTTTTCATCGTACGATACATTGCTCTAGAAAATAGCGGTAAGCCTTTGCAGTGAAAAACATCATGTGAAATCTAATGAAACACGCACCTTAACGAGGTTCACCGCGTTTTCGGCAAAATCACAGCAATACACGAAAAGTTTGGATCTAAAAAAATTTACAAAAATTGGCATTTCAAGACGATTTGCTTTCACTTACCCGGTGCTGTCCAATAATGGAAATACCGTATTTCCAACTCCACAACCAACCTACAAATATACAAGTAAATAAATACAAACTACAGTGGAAATTTATAATAAACAAAATCATAACACTGCTAAAGTCAGAAACGAATTTTGCTGAAGAAGCACATCAGGCAACGGCAATTTTCTAATAGCATATCAGTGAGAGAACCAATACCCTTTCAAAAAAGAAAACAGACAACTAACCCTACATATTAAGCAGATTTGTAAAGGGCAATTACGAATAACGGTCAGTGTGAAGTTAGACTTAAGAAACGAGTCAGCTTGGTTCGGATAGGAGAGCTCTATTCTTGACAGTGAAAGTCAGAGATGACCCTCAAAGCAGATGAAACTATTATCGCCACGGGATCATAGTTACGCATATAGAGACAGCAATAGTTCTATTTGAACGGCAAACTATGTTTCCTGGACATTGACTGTTTCAGTTATATTTTATGGGGCTTAAATTAGCCAAATATGAATAAGAATATAAGAATTCTGCGATCGTTCTGTAAGAAATAATAGAAGCATGCTGGAAGAAACATTATTTCTACTGATAAAGTCTACTGCCATGTGCAGA